ATTCACTACAGGTTTCCAGAGGTTTTCAAACTGATGTCACTTGGTGACCGATCTTGTAGCCAATCAAATTCCTGCAAACGAACACTTGATTGATAAGTAATCGTGTTCATCATGTGGCTTATTCTGTTATTATCTGGTAAATCTGATATGTATTCGTGAGTCTGGTGATTCAATCAAATATCTGTTCAGCAACACCGGTTGGCTGCACACTTGTGATTGACTCAAGGGGTTGGACTTTCTGGCAGCGTCAACCGACGGAATGAAGGACCGTGAGAACATATACTCATCGATGATTTAGGCTGACCGTAGCTCTCTTTCCTTAGCTCGTAGAATTAAGAACTCATGGAAAACTGGATTCCATACTAGGTTAATGTCCAACCAATTAGATTCGTAACTTTAAGACAATGATTTCGATCTCCGAACAGAATTGTCGGTATGTATAACCGAAGGATTCTAACCTAGGATGGAATGGTTGTTTAATACTCCTTCGTTCCCGCTGGTTTATAGGCTGTGCGTCGGTGGCACAGTGGTTAGGACATGCACATGGTCCGGGGTTCGAGCCCGCACCGACGCACACCTGATACCTATGGTCGGCCTGCAAAATTTGGGCTACCGATATCCATGCTGAAAATTCCATACTTGTACCGAAAATACAGTGTGGAATCAAGCTGTAAATCAAAAATAAAATAAATAAAAAATAATTTGTTGTCTACAGGATTTCGATCTGGCCTCACTGTCCTGTTGCCAACTGCTTCCGTAACTAACTGTTCCAAACTGAACAGCTTTCTATCTAACATCAGCTAGCCGTCTAGTCTAAGCTTAATGCTCTAACGTCAAATAAACCACTCCAAATATCAGACAGTCAATTCCACCTTCAGCAATTAAACTCATCTCAACAAACTCATTACTACACACCATGTTTCCGGCTTATAGGTCAGTGATATAGATAGTACCACAAGCATAAAATACCCTCCTACAGTTCTATATCCTCGCCTTTCTACATCGCCCCATATCTGGTCGACTTCTAAGAAAATCCTCAGTCTAACCACCTTCTACATTGAGAAGTTACAGCAATCTGGAATTACTCAACCTCAACTTTCACAGTTTATTAGCTTCTCCATCTTACCAATTACTCTTCATTGCTCCTCACAACCCATACCTTAGTCTTTACTGGACTACCTACCTACTCAAAAACGAGTATGTCCTATTACGCAGGGTATTAAACGTTGTTAGCAGGGTAAGTTGTGTGCCACTGACTCAGCTCACTACTGTCATAGTCGACAGAAACTGGAAATCACCTGATAAGCCGTCGAAGTCCATACATATTTTCTGTCTCTCAACACTCCATTTCCCCCCTCGCTCTATTCACAACTCTCACCGCCTTTCATCTTATCTGGTAGGTCTGTCTAGAGGTCATTATATTATAAGAGATTATATACTTCGATCGCACAACCAAGTGCTCAATAACGCAACAATAGATAGCCTATTTGTTTCACCCACCCAACTGCGTTCTACTTCATAAAGATAGTCTTAAACACGTGAAACTTACGAATTATTGTGCTACTGGCATGTTTTAAAAATGGAACAGTCATTCTCGCATATTTGTAATTTCATGATGACACTCACTATTCCCATTATCTTATAATTTTGTGTCAGCAATACTAATACTATCCTTGTTCTTATCATAATTTTCATCTGACATTGCCGAAAGTTGTTGGTTTTATCAATAATCCTGGCCGAGTTTACCCTGTACATCCGCCGTTAAGTAAATTAGACGCAATTATTGTACAAAATGCTGACATCTTCACACTGTATGACAAGCACTACTTTGGAATAAAGCAAACCATCATTACTATTAGGTAATTGCATCATCAGTTCTACCACTCATGAAGAAACCTACTAATACTCTCACTAAATCGAGAATTTGAAGTGTTGTGAAGATGACAACGGATGTCTAGATGAAGGAGACAATCGGAGCTTTGCAAATGAAACACATTTAGCTCAGAGAAATGAAATAGTTCCTTAAAATATGTGATTTTCACTCTAACAACTAGTCTAACTCGGTTTGCAAGTGTATTATATATGCAGGGTGAAGTGGCTAACTGCACTAGTTCATCGACCGCCTTACTTATTAAGGGAATGCACAGTAGGCCGAGATTAGGAATCTTCACAAGTTTTCCAATACTTTCTAGCTACCTGATGCCATCATCCTGAATCCAATGAAATCCCTGCAAACCAACACTCGGGTGTCAATCTGATGCTGACCAGCAACCAGCCTTATTCAGATAGGCAGTAATAGTTACCTGGATTCTAGTGGGAAGTCATGACCAGCGTGGAGTACAGCAGGTCGAGTATGAAGACTGGTGGTCGCATGATATACTGAATGGGCAGAAGTTGGAATTCTTCACGGACAGACCATCGGATCCGGACCCAGTGGCGATCTTAACTGTCTACCAGCTAGCTCGCCGTCTTCTAACCGGTGAGTCCTACGTTCCAACCACTGTGGTAGGTGCGTTCTGGTGGAGAGTTGCAAACTACAGAAAGAAACAGCTGTCCAGTACTTCTTTAAGCAATGTCATCTCATGATGAAATCACGTAACCAAACAATCAAATCAAATCCTCGTAAGATACACTTGTTTTAACAGCTAGACCTCATCAGCGTGTCGGTGGTAGAACGCTCGCCAACCACGGGATCCCTGGCCAACGTATTCATACACCCCGCTGACCCTATAAATAAGGTCTGTACACGGTGGGGCGAAGGCCCAGTATGACGTTTGCAAACTCACCCCACTGCTACTGAAACTGCTGAGCTCTCAAGGTTGGAGCCATCTATTCCATACGGAGCGCCAGGGAATAAAAATTAATAATAATAAAAACCGTCTACGGACTCCGTCTAAGAAAAAACAATCGGAAGAGCCTACCGCAACACCTGGCATCAGAACGACACCCTGGGCAGCGATGATTCGACGTTTTGAGCACAAGTCACTACACTCATAGCCATATCAGTTAAGTCACACACCGTGACTATCAGTGGCAATAATATGTGCTCGAAACATCACTCAATTATTGATCAATACTGCATCATCACGGTGTGATATTTGAAATAGACCTATTTATTGTTGAATTACATTCTACCACGGTGTTCAAGTTCTGCACTTACATACACCAGTAACTAGTGTCACACGTCCAGTCCTTGGTTTGTTGCAGACTTCAGTTGCAGTCTTGTGTCCAATCAAAGCACTGTTGATTTCGTTTTTATTAAGAAATGTAATCTGTCCTCAAAAGACCTACCAGAATGTAAGTAATGTGAGGGCTGTTTATAATGTTTAGTGGATGTAGGCAAATAGTCGTCAAACAACTGTGGAAGGATTTGTGTCTCATGTCATAGTGTAGCTGATTGTCGGTCTTAGCGGGTTCTACTTTGAGCTTTGGACTCTGAGGTCGTAATCCCCCTCCACCTAATTGATTCTGCTAATGAATGTGGCTGATGTCCTGTTACATTGAGAAACTCATCCTGGGTAAGTGGATTCTCACAAATGTGTTCCTTTGCGTTCTCAGTGGAGCAAAGGGGACTCCAAGCTAGAGAGTTGGTGTTTCGGTAGCAGTAGTGTTTACTTTTACGGGATGGGGTTGTTAGCCTGATGCCCAGCCCAATCTCCCCTCTTTTGCAGTCTTATTATTGGCTTAGTGAGTTAAAGTAGTGCGTTTGTGACCGGGGATCTAACTCCGGACCACATGAAGCGTGGTCGGTGGGCATTCTACCTCACTCTATCCCATTATTGATTGTGATGACTGCTCCTGTGTGTATAGTTTTTTGACGCTTGAAAACATGACAAAGTTGTCATACATAACTTTGTCACAAACGCACTATTTTAGCTCACTAAGTCAGTAAGAAGACTGGTGCAGGGGGAAGATTGGGCTGGGCATCAGGCTAACAACCCCATCCCGTAAAAGTAAACACTACTGCTACCGAAACACCAACTCTCTAGCTAGGAGTCCCGTTCGCTCCACTGAGAACGTAAAGGAACACATTTGTGAGAATCCACTTACCCAGGATAAGTTTCTCAACTGCAACTGAAGTCTGCGACAAACCAAGGACTGGACGTGTGACACTAGTTACTGGTGTATGTAAGTGCAGAACTTGAACACCGTGGTAGAATGTAATTCAACAATAAATAGGTCTATTTCAAATATCACACCGTTATGATGCAGTATTGATCAATAATTGAATGATGTTTCGAGCACATATTATTGCCACTCATAGTCACGGTGTGTGACTTAACTGATATGGCTGTAGTGACTTGTGCTCAAAACGTCATCCAGTTAATAACACTGCAATCACTGTGTGATATTTGCAGTAAACTTGTCTAATATGCAATTAGTTGCTATCGACTCTCCAACCAAACCATACATCCATCACAGTCCTAAAGGAGGTCAGTCGGCAGCAGGAATAGCCACTGCGGCATCAGGTTACAATCTCACAGGGAATATGAGTTCCTTCATGACTGCGGATACGCCTTGCTGATGAATGGCGACAAGCACCAAACCTACGTCAAGTGCTTCTCTCGCTTACCGCCTCCAACCATTTGGAAATCAACAGTGGCTGAAACAGCACACCTATAATTGTGCTCTCAACGTCTAGATTCTAAGGAATAACCTACTAAACATTCAGACAGGCAGAGAGGTATCATTAACCTACCACAGTTGACGAGCTGCTTCACAAAAGAAGCTGCCTTCCTCATGAACAAATTAGGGTCTACCCGTTGAGTTGCATCAGCTAATTATACTTCAACGATAGCTGAAAATCTATTGTTCACATCCTCGTCCTCTTCAATCCTACAAAATATCCATCCCAACTGAGTCCATCCATACACAGCCGCTCTGGTGTGATTCAGAAGAGGGAGAAAACATGCCACATTTACAACGTATCAAAACACATTCACAATATCACTCAAGAAAGACATACCGACAGACATTGTCATTTCTCACACATCACAAACCTTTTTAACTCGACTATTCAGATCTTCGATGAATAATCGTCGTAAATTGTGTAGTGTTTGTAATTCTTTGATGACTGTCTCTTCCAGACCACGTAGATCTTGTTTAGCCTGTTCACGTTTCTCAGCTGTCCTCTCGAATGTGTCTAGTCGTTTAGTCTTTGTCTCCAATTCTTCACCTAACTGTTTCACCTCTTCTTGTGATTTCTCACATTGGAATTTGAAAGTATGAGCTTCACTGTGAATGTAAAAATGAGAGTAAAAATAGAAATGAGGAGGAACTACTGAACCTCAACTTTTACAATTTGTTAAATCTTCCATCTTACCAGTTATTCTTTATTGCTCCCCACAACCACACCTTAGTCTTTCCTCGACTACCTACTACGATATATGTGTTGAGCAGCAGTAGGTTGACACAGTATTGGAAACTCTCTCCTGCTTCCCCAACACAATCTACATTCACAATCGTGCTGTCTTTAGTTAAAAACGATGTTGTCCAGGCGATAGTGTGCATAATGCTCTAACAAAATAATTATGCATACAAAACGCCAAAGATATTCGCATATTTCGTTGTAATCATCTCATGTGTCTAACTCTTCTCAGAGAAACCAACCAGACTCAACTGAACCTTTCTGTACACTTTCAAACAATAAGAAAAATATTCACTCGGATATATGAACACTATCATGGTCATTATCGAAGCAAAGTAAACCCAATAACATCAAACTACAGAGTTCATAACGACGATGATACAACACGTGGACATTCAATATCTTGTACGTGCACATACAGTTGTTCACTGGCTGACAGAAAATAAGGCAACCTACCGTGCTAAGAGATTTCAACTGACATGCTCTTATAGTATACATGCTGGCTGCTGATTTGAACAAACTTTCACCCAGATAGGCTGTTGTATGAGCTAACACCAATCCGGTGACTCGGTGAAGAAAGGCCTCAAATTACCACTCACAACTAGACAGGTGGAAATAGAGATGAGGGACTATGGGCTGAAATTCGACTAGTTCAAGTCAGTGGACCACATCATCATCTCCACAACACACCTATCAAGAAACAGACAACTTACTCTTTATATTCTTCCAACTTCTTCTGTTTTTCGTTGAATTCATCACGTAGAGATTTCACCTGAGCAGCATAATACTCTGATTATCGTCTAAACTCTTCATCTAGCTTTGCTTGTAACGCTGACTGATCAGCTATTATTTGTTCACTTTCCTGATCAGATCCGGTGATCAATTGTTCATTAGCGCGTAGTTTCGCCAACTCCGCATTGAAGCTATCCACTTTCTCCTGCAATTGACGCTTACGTGATTCTGACTCGTCAATTTTATCGCTTAGGGTGCCAACTTTCACCTCAAACTTAACAAGAAAGAAAAAGAAATCACAAAGGCATATTAAAAATGAAGGAATGCTTGGAAGTAACATTAGAAATAACACCTACCTAAATATAAACATTACTTGAGTCGAGTGTGAATAACTATAAATCTTTACCACTCAACAACCAACCAACCAACCAGCCAACTAATCAGTTGCATCTACACACCGTTTATTGCTAACCAGAGTTGCACATCTACTGCAGTGTCAGAGCTTATCCATACTCACACACACACACACACCTAAATGATCAAATCTTGCCAGCTGTTGAGAAATTACAACCCGTCAAACAATGGTTAGCAGTTAAATAACTAAACCCCCAATGAGTAATAGGTCAGCTGTATAAACAAACTTCTGCATAGTCACCTTCAATTCAACTCCTCAACACACCGTATTTTGATAAATTCTCAACAGAACAGACACACGAACTGTTAATCCTCCTTTTATCAATCTTAGTTACTTACTTCACTTCGTCCATCTCCCACGGGAGAATGAGCGGTCTTCATGAACATTACGAATCATCGCTGCCCAGGGTGTCGTTCTGATGCCAGGTGTTGCGGTAGGCTCTTCCGATTGTTTTTTCTTAGACGGAGTCCGTAGACGGTTTTTATTATTATTAATTTTTATTCCCTGGCGCTCCGTATGGAATAGATGGCTCCAACCTTGAGAGCTCAGCAGTTTCAGTAGCAGTGGGGTGAGTTTGCAAACGTCATACTGGGCCTTCGCCCCACCGTGTACAGACCTTATTTATAGGGTCAGCGGGGTGTATGAATACGTTGGCCAGGGATCCCGTGGTTGGCGAGCGTTCTACCACCGACACGCTGATGAGGTCTAGCTGTTAAAACAAGTGTATCTTACGAGGATTTGATTTGATTGTTTGGTTACGTGATTTCATCATGAGATGACATTGCTTAAAGAAGTACTGGACAGCTGTTTCTTTCTGTAGTTTGCAACTCTCCACCAGAACGCACCTACCACAGTGGTTGGAACGTAGGACTCACCGGTTAGAAGACGGCGAGCTAGCTGGTAGACAGTTAAGATCGCCACTGGGTCCGGATCCGATGGTCTGTCCGTGAAGAATTCCAACTTCTGCCCATTCAGTATATCATGCGACCACCAGTCTTCATACTCGACCTGCTGTACTCCACGCTGGTCATGACTTCCCACTAGAATCCAGGTAACTATTACTGCCTATCTGAATAAGGCTGGTTGCTGGTCAGCATCAGATTGACACCCGAGTGTTGGTTTGCAGGGATTTCATTGGATTCAGGATGATGGCATCAGGTAGCTAGAAAGTATTGGAAAACTTGTGAAGATTCCTAATCTCGGCCTACTGTGCATTCCCTTAATAAGTAAGGCGGTCGATGAACTAGTGCAGTTAGCCACTTCACCCTGCATATATAATACACTTGCAAACCGAGTTAGACTAGTTGTTAGAGTGACGTACACGTGAGTGCAGTAATTTCGATTCAGTTTTCAACTTACTTATATACAAACGAACAACAGTAAACTCTTCATCTAATCGTTCAGAACCAACGGTTGGTTTCTGATGTCGTCGTCAACAGAAAACAAAGGAGGGAGAAAGAGGGAAGGAAAAAGAAAACATGAGGAATTGTAATCAACAGTCGGAGTAGAAATAATAAATCAGAGATGAAAATGAAGTTTCCCAAACTGACTAGTCATTTCAGAGTAATCAGTTCTAACGGAGAGGATTGAGGTTCAATAGTCTATTTAGCCCCATGACATTTAATCCTAACCGGTGAACTAATAAACGTAGTCGACAAAACCCTCACTCAATAACTATCAATCTAGCTGACACAAAACGATGTCATCTGTTAAAACAGGTCAGCTGAAATATTCTTGACTGTAATACAATGTCACAGGGGTTCATATCTCCATCTTCAGATTTCCTAAAACAAAATATTCACTTTCAGAAGGTATCACAACATCATGTAAGGTTGATGATGACAAGGGTGATGCATACAGAAATGGACTAGCCATTTACACAATTCTAGTAACACTAGACCATGAGCTGAACTTATTTTTTGAGGGATGGGTGAGACAGGACTCGAATTTGAAGTAATACCGCCTTTTTCAACAGAAAGTCAATGAAATAGAATAGGCAACACAGTAAGGCCACTGTCGCTTTCCGTTATGTACCACAAACAACTTTACACTGCAGAAAGTTGGATGTATTAGTCTCTGTCAATTATATAGAGAACTTTCTTTGCCAGCCACATACATGTACGTCTCAGTTGATCACTTTCTGTCTCAGAAAGTTTCGAGAAATATTCCCTGATAAGAAGAGACAGTAGTCGAACGTACTAACCAACTAACTAACTAATTTGACTACATTTCCCTTCAATTACACTCACTAATATAAACATGTTTTCTCCCCTGTACAGAATCAAAAAGACGGTTACAGAGGAGAAAATATTCTTTTCGATCAAGTCATCAACTCGGCCGTAAATTCGTGTGTGGGTGAGAAAGCCTCATAATTATTTCCGGTCGGTGAAGAATCAAATTAATAAAATTACAAAATCTAATAAACACGAAGATTGGATAATACAAAAGATAACACGAATATAATCACTGAGGAAGGATGTCCATTTTGCCCAATTACGGATTAAAACCGCATTGATAACACAATAGGCAGCAAGTTCGGATGAAATAATACTGGAACTGAATGGATGTTTTTATGATAATTGACTGACTGAATTTCAACACATGTTTGCATAGAAGAACAAACAAATCGGTAGACATAGTCCTTCTCTCAAAAGTGATATCATCTTGCGATGACGCCTTCCATGGCTTCAGCACGTGCTACAAATGCTGTCTTGATAGCTTCCATACCATTCACTGTCTGACAGTCTTCTGATTCAAAGCGAAACGAGAAGTGGTCAGCCCATGATGTGGCGCCGTAGAAGGATAGTTTGTGCGTTGCGTTATCATTCATTTGAGTGCGATCCCAGACGTCACTAGGTATATGTCGACTTAGAGTATGTTATATAGATTATCAGAAAGTCTACCTGTTGACGTGTGTCCATCAGTGAAATCCACTTTGTATTTGTATTAAAGTTTACTAAGATGAAACTTGCCTATAGCAGTGAATGTAGTAGCAGTCCTGATGCTCTTGGACGATATAGTTCTAATGAATGAAAATGTTTATATTACTCCATAGTCTTTCGTACCTATTGAAGATTCTCTGGGATATTTTTCTACCGTCTTGAATGCAAATTCCTACCTTCGTTTGGTTTGTTAACTACGTGTTCTCTGAGGTATTCAAATCCGTGTTGCTCGGCGTTGCAGTCAAATACTTTATAACAGCTATTCGGTATGCGTCTGACTTATCGAAGTGCATTGAATGCATCGTTTGGTCATGCCGAAGTGGGAAGTAGTATACCGTCTAGACCTTAGTGATGACCCCATCCAGTTGGTTGAATATTCCTTTTTGACCAATGAGAATTAAGTCCTTCAACTGTTCTCATTCAGCATAAATTGAAAGTGCATCACGATGGCAGTGGTTGTGAACTTGATCGGGAGAATTTGGTGTTGTTTATCGTGAAAAGGGAAGACTACTGATTAACTGAATATGAAAAGCATACTTTAACCTTCCAGCCTATGTAATCAGTCATGAGTATTTAAACAGTAATTTCCTCCTATAAAACAGTGACTGTATGTTAATTTGCGAAACCAGTCAAATATGGGGGAAATTTTCGTTGGGATTATCTTATGCAGTAGCGTTAAAATGCTTTCAAGTTGAGGTTGTGAGTGAATGTGCAACTTATAGGATAGGTAACTGTTGAATCCCTTGAAATTTACAATAATACGGAGAAGTGATGTCAAAAGATATAGTGAAACTATGAAGTAAACCAGGTTAGGTAGGAGCAAGCAAAGAGGAGTAAAATGGCATAATACTGTAGTGCACAGATTTAATAATAATAATAATAACAACAAGTAAATAGTTATAATCACTTTATGCCATACATTATGAAATTATACAGAATGGAATTCTCAGTATTTCAGCATATTGCGACAATTTATCTCCATTGACACACAGGTAACTCGATGCTTGAAATAGGCAAAATAATAAAACCAAAAGTTTATGGGAGAATATTATGTGTAACAATAATTCCGCTTATAATTTGCTGTTTATTTACAGATTATTAAGTAGGTTTATAACCTTGTCTAGTTTGCTAGTTTTCTGGCTGGTCCCAAGCATGGGAATAGAGGAAAGGTTGACCGTGGGACTGTCGGTCCTACTTCGGGAAAATCAATCCAATTGCTATAGAAAATTCAAGGCACAGGAAAAACATTAAAAAAGAAAATTTAGTCATCTCTGTAGTCGGAGAGATGAAATGACGTGAGCTTGGGGAAGCCTACGCGAAGCCTGTCAGCTAAGGTGTATTCATTCGCAGAGCAGAAAAATAAGCGTTAGGACATGGAATGTTCGAACAATACACGGGACTGGGAAGACTGTAGAAAGCTGTCAAAGAAATGAGAAAATACAGTGTGTAAGTGCTAGAAATCTGAAAAAGCAGGTGGAATGTATGTGCAATATCGAAATTGTTAACTCGACAGCAAGTCAATAATCTACTCCAGTCACACAGACAACAATCACGAGCATACTGAGATAGCGAGTGGTTGTCATGATGTTACCAACACCAGTTAAAGCTGCAATGCAATGGGAACCAATCTCCTCCTGCAGGACAATGACAACAACATTCAACTCAAAAGGAAGGGAGGAAGGTTACGATCATCCAATACTAGGCGGCTACAAAGAACTCCGAAGAAGGGAGATTTCTATGGACAACTGCAAACAGTAATGGATAACATCCCAGATGTGATGACATCCAAGTCCTAAGGGACGATATGAATGCTAACTGAACTGGGAGCATCCAATACGGGAGGAGAACTCATCATTAGTTGAGAAGCTGTAGGTAAAATGAATGACAATGCAGACCTCTTCTCAGATTTCTGCACCTCCAATGCTGTGGTGATTGGAGGGAGGGGGTACAAGCATAAGAATATACACAAGGCAACACGGATTCCACCTAACACATTGAAACACCGAGAATCAGATAGCCTTCAAAGCAGTGTTTCTCAAGAAAGTGGAGATGTAGTCTTCTGAAGACATACGATGTTGAGAAGTGGAGCAGAGTTGCGCTGAGACCATTGTCGATTTCACGGAACCTTCGAGGTAGAGCTGGAAGCCTTCAAAACAACTGAAGACAGGTCACAATTCACGTTCGACATTCGGAAACTGAAGGATAAAACCACATGTTTTGGCTTCACTACAGATCGAAACAAAGCAAAGTCGGAGACACTACGTGGCATCACTGAGGAAACATGCATCGAAGAACATTGTGTCCTTTTGCAGGTGATGTCCATAGAGACGTGTATTTTAGTTATAGGAAGAAAGAAGAGTTAAGAATGACAATGGCTCTCATCAGACACGTGAAAGCTAATAGAAGAGAGGAGAATGGTGAAGCAGAGGATGAACGAGTGCAGAGATGGACGGATGGATAGAGAAGGAGAGTCTGAGTCCAATGTACATGTCACTGTATGAGGAAGTGGTGATGAGTGGTAGGAGAGACAAAAGACAATTGTGAGATACACTGTCAACTGAAGCAGAGCAGGCTGCAGAAGAAGTGGAAGAGAGCTGAGAACTCCATATCAGATAACCAGGTGTCTATCAGGGAAGAGATCAACACAGATGAAGTCAATAAAAATGGTTGAGGGGACCTAATTATCAAAGAGGAGAGGCGGGGGAACTAATGGACTGATCACTTGATAGGGCTCTTCAACTGACCATCACATGCAACTGGTCTAGAAATACGACCACTAACAGCACACAGAGAACAAGTTCCAGTCGACACCTATCCTCGAACGAAAGCAGAGGTCTTGAGTAGAATCAAGTTACTCTACCGAAGGAAGAGGGGAAACAGCAGGACCAGATGGAATTCATCTTGTAGCACTCAAAACAGATCCAGAGACCTGAGATGATATGCTCACACCACTACTGAAAAAATATTTGGAAGGAAGGAGATGTCCCTACTGTTTGGAGGGAAGGCTATTTTATCACGCTACCAAAGAAGGGAGATTTATTTTGTCCCCTGCAAGAACTGGCGCTTACAAGTGTTCACGCCAAGCGAATTGTGAATTCGCATTGTACTGGAGAGACTGAATGTTGAACTGGATGCAGAACTCCGCTAGCCGAAACAAGCTGAATGCGGGAAAGGCAGATCATGTGGTGATCAAATTGCAACTGCAGTCATCATCCTCGGACAGAACATCGAATCACAGTCGAACCTCTATCTGAACTTCGATTTTGAAAGGCTTTCGACAGTGTTGACTGAAAATTAATTTGGAAGCGACTCACACACCATGACATGACCGAAATCTTCATCGACCTCAGTCAACAGCTTTCTGATAACTCCACTTTTAAGGTGATACCCAACAGGAAACGCAGGGAAGTTTCTTAAGTGACTACAGGAGTTAGACAAGACTGATTACTGTCACCACCGATGATATTCCTAATTGTCGTTGGCTGGATTACGCCGTATACCTTGAGTGAGGGGAGAGAAGACTGGAATGGGTTAGACCGACAAGAAGACTCTGGTAGATCTGAACTTCTTGGATGATTTATATCGAATGTTATACAAACAGGAATAGTTACAGACGGAAGCCAACAATCTGGTGGAGGAGGCTGGTGGCGAAGACGGGACTTCAGGTGAACATAGAGAAGACGGAGGGGATGAAGATGAACACCAAAGAATCAGAAGCACTAGTCACTACCGAGGGAATAAATTTGAAAGAGGTCACTCCCTTCACCTATCTATGAGGCTTCGTTTTAACTAGAGTCACATGGGATGAGTGAGGATGTCGAAATCAACATCCGAAAGGCGATGTAGACCTTCAGCATTTTGAAATCATGTTGGAAATCTTCTGCACTGTGGAGAACAGAGGAGAAGATTCGGGTTCTCAACAAGTATGTTAAGTCAGTCAGTTGTTTTATATGAGTGAGAAACTTGACGTGTGTGTTTGTGTTTCACGGAAAGCATTTCCAACAGGCCAGTGAGGAATTTTATCAATAGCTGACATTTTCGTTGTTTGACTGCATCCTGAAACTGAGATGCTTGGTAGAAAGAATTAGCAACATGAGCCTGTGGGAACGGATCAACTGCAAGCCTATTGCCGAGGAAATATCGTGGAGAAAACGGTAATGAATCGGGCACACGCTGAGGAGATCATCGGTTGAGACCACATGCCAGGTGGTCGATCGACTAGAACCCGAATTAAACTCGACTATCTTGGTGTCTAAATGTAACATTTAGTAGCTTGTTTAAGAGTATCTGACAGCCTATATGCTTCCGTAGAGTTAGCTGGAGAGGACTTCATTGGTGAGGAAAAACTGGAGATTTACTGCTGAAACTCCTGTTCCTGTCGAAATCCAAGGGATTTCATCATGAGCTGACATCAGTTAGAGAATCACTGGAAAACCTGGGAGTACTGCACAGCTAATTCGTCCTAGTTTGGGACTTAACAGTAGGCACCCGCCACCAGGGTTCGAACCCAGGACCTTCTGATTACAAGGCGTGCTAGCTCGTGGACCATTGAGCCACTGGACCCCGATCCAATGGCCCATGAATTGCTTGGTAATGAAGAGCCCCAAACTAGGACGAAACAGATGTCCAGTGCTCCCAGGTTTTCCAATGGTTTTCTAACCGATATCAGCTCATGATGAAACCCCCCAATCAATCAAACAAAGAAAATCTCTACAAAACCAATACTTGAATATATATATATATATATATATATATATATATATATATATATCTTAAGTTTTATCATTCATTTTATCTAATGATGAATGCGAATCATTCAGTGGTTCTGCGTTTAAAATCTCATGAATGAAGACATCCTATTAATTCAAGGAACGGGGTGTACAGTGTACACCTTATTCGAAGCTGACAGCACTTTGTGTACTGTCTTAATAACTGAATACAAATTAGTTTGTAAGGTTTCAAAAAGTGCAGTATGAAGCTGAATTCAAGCTCGGAAACAGCAGGCCATTGGGATTGCACAACACATGCGCGCATCAGTTATTTGACCCGTGCTAAATGAAAATATACGAAGCTACTGCATTTTAGTGTGATATGAGCTGAACATTTTAAATTTGTCATTAACTATCTAGTTTCATTCCTGTGACAGAGTTTTTAAGGATTAAGGACGTTACTTAGCTGTAAAGCTTGGATCGTGAGAATGAAGTATATTCAATAGTTATTAACATTTTAATACGGATTCATCACAGTTTTCTCTGTTGAATGGTAGTTATAATGATGTTACATGTAGGAGAAAGGGGTTGTTCAGTCTTTCTTTACTAGAGTAGTTAAAACTTATGCTACGTGTATTTTTCTTCGTACCAGAATAAATAATGAAAATAAGCTGTTTTTGGTGTTAACTAATTGGATTTTAGACTGCTAGATTTGACCGTACGTGGAGGAGTGGATATCATGGCTGAAGTTAGAGTGACAAAGGAAGTCAGCAGACTGTCACATATCTTTATTTAACCTCAGAGCCCTATGTAATATTTTCTCACGCTTGGTTTTTTATAATCTGGTTTTCTCACTTTACCTGGATTTTTCGAATATTTTTGTTATTCCTTTTTTGAACATTTCATCTCCTCTTTCTTTGATGTTCCATCACTTCAGGGATTTCAGTTGTCTTCGCAACTTTCTCACTTCCAGCTATTGTCTCAGCTTGTTGATTTATTTCATCACCTCTGTCGTCAAGTTGTTGATAAAGCAACTGTAATTGTACATCTCCAACATTTTTCGCTGAAGTAAAACCAGCGCCAACAGTGATATTGCCCGGAGTGTAGGCTGAGAGAAAACAACACACGGTGATCAGCATTCTGCATAGTATTCATGATACGACAAGAACGCGTAATATCTCATGGTTTCAACAAAACAAGACTAAATCAAAAAGAAACCGACAAATCATCAAATACTTTCTTCTCTTACTTTGTGTGCTACATGGAGTGTGGCGACTTGAACTTCCTTACATTTGTGCAAAGTTTTATGTCGAAAACAGACAGACAGAGACATGCATGACAACGCAGAGCTATGTTGTGAACTTGTTAAAGTGTAAAAACGTCATAAGGTTAGTTGGTTGGTTGGTTAGTAATTATCATTACCTTTTTCTCTCTATCTTGTCGTTTGAATGAATAGCAGACTGTTTATTGTAGATTTCATCCACTAACCGACATAAGTATTGACATTTCTCTATGCAATTAGGGCTTTAAAAATAACGAGGCGAGATCGCTTGTGATTATTCAACCATTGGGATGAGATTCAATCATCACGTATGAATTCTAACTGCTGGGAAATAGTGATGTCGATGATCATCGTGGAGACGGCTAGTTTGACATTAGCCGCCAATTTATAGCTGTGATGAGTTAGACATGGTCATTGGATGTGGAAGACATGAAAAGGCCGGTTAGTTGTCTTTGATCATAGGTGTCGGTGTTCCACTGTTAGCTGGAATAACACATGGCAAGTATTGTTATGGTTGGAAGTCAAATTCTAGTTGGGGAGGTAAAATTAGTCCACGAGGTTGTGAAGTTAAATCGATTGAGATGATTAGTACATGTGTTACGAATGTGTAGCCACCAATCGCCTTCCTTGACGGGTTGGGTGGGTAGTGTTAGCTGCTGGCATGTAATGGATCAAGTTGGAAAAGAGGCAGTGATGGTCAAACGAGAAAACCTGTTTTCGCCGGGCAATGAAATCCACAATAGTTAGTTTGAACTAGCTCACTAGTCAGTCAGGTAGCGATGTGTCGACTGGTGTCTGGTTGATGTCCTCGGGATGGTAGGAAGCAATGATGGCTGGAGACAATTGGTGGTATGGCTCAAAATCTTCTTCGCTCAGTGATGGCTAGCGCAGATGCACTCACTCTTTGTGATTTGTCATATCGAAGAAAACTGGATTGTTCCTTCCATATTACTATTCACTTTACTAGATCAGACTACTGTTCACCATCCGTCTTCTGATGAGTAGTCTCTCTTTACTTTCTTATCTTGGTTTGTGTGCTAGAAGGATGGAAAGTGACAGCAAAGTTTTATGTTGAGACCAGTCAGTCAGTGGTTGATCATCCGCGAAGCACACAGACATGTTATCAAGACTTTGTTTATGCAGCTGTGCCTCCATCTGACAAGTGATAGCCATCGTGATATCAGATGTGTGTGGCATAGAGATGAGGAAAATGAAAAAGGTACTTCTCACCGAATTAGTCAGTCAGTTAGTTAGTTATGGCCTGACACATAATTGATGTGTTATGAATGAATATTGTGTATATGGAATGGAGAAAAGTGAACTGATGTGAACTGAGTTTTCAACGTAGATCATCACTGTACAAAATACAACAGTTCCAACTGGTTACACTTCATAGATAGATGTACACATAAATAAACTGAAATGTCTGAGAGGAGGAATGACGACATCGCGAGAATAATAGATCCTTGATAGATTACAAAAATGTGAGTGAATGTGCATCATTGAAAGTAATTTTGAGCCATCTAATGGAGAATTTGCAGTTCCATCGGGATAGTGAGTCGTAGTCTGCCTCATAGTTGTTCCCCAGAAGGCTGATGGGTGAAAGGATTTGAATCCCACCAGTCACCTGGCCCTGAGCGTAATTCAACCTGAGCAGCTGGGTGGCTAGCAGCATCTGTCTGTCTGTCTGTTTTCGACATAGAACTTTGCACAAATGTAAGGAAGTTCAAGTCGCCACACTCCGTGTAGCACGCGAAGCAAGAGAAGGAAGTACAAGAAAAGCATAATAGAAACAGTGAGCAGAGGTGTGAGACAAAGGAGGAGTAATAACGAAGAACAAAACAGTTTCATTGGAGATCATAAGTCACAGGGAGTGGATGCATCTGCGATAGCCACTGAGAACGATTTTGAGCCATGCCACCAATTGTTTCCAACCATAGATTTTCGCTGTCCCGAGGACCTCAACCTGGAAGTCTATACCTTCCTACGTGGCTTAGACCAACTGTTGTGGATTTCATTGACTGGTTCGGCCAAGTTTTTGTTTGACCGCCGCTAGCTTTTTCCAGCCTAACCTTATATCCGCTAACATTGCTCGTCGAGGGAGGCGATGGCTTGGCATACGTAACACATGTCCTAACCACCTCAGTCGATGTAACTTCACGACTTCGTCGATTGATTTCCCCTGTTTACCTAGCACTCGACGCCTAACCTCCATGTTGCTCACCTTATTATGCCACTTTACACGGGAAATAGAGCGCAGGCACGTATGATCAAAGACAGCTAGTCTTTTCATGTCTTCCACTCTGAGTGGCCAGGTCTCACAACCATAAAGGAGGACGGAGCGGACTGATGAGCAGTACACCCGCCCTTTGGTCGATAGTCGAACATCTCGTCTACGCCAGAGTCGGCGTAAACTGGCAAATGCGAAACGAGCCCCCTGTATTCGTGCTGAGATTTCGTCAGGGATCAATCCGTTGGGGCTAGCAGCATTGTTGGAAGTCTGTATTTTTTGTCTATGTACATACCCTAATACTTTCGGAGTTGACGACGTTATTAAGTGTTAGAGAGGTAGACTGGCTTTCTTCAGTAATTCTTAGTGTATGTGCTCTGCTGACTGACTGGTCTTGACTGACACCATAGTTTGCGTTTTCACTCGAGAAATAACGTAGTCATCTTGAAGAGTTATTTTGTAGAGATCCGATTTGTTTTAAGTTTGACACCAGTGAAAGAATTATTGGAAAACCAGGGTGATGTACTGGATAGTATGGGACTGTTCAGCAGTACGCATTTATTGGTGTTCCAACTTTCAGGATCATTGATTTTTGGTCACTTGTAGTAACTGAACAAATCCTGGCTACGAATGACATTGGCTGGTGACAGTCGCGTTAAAATTACGATTTGGAAGAGGTTAGAATTCATATGGCAGTGGATTGGATTCCGGTGTCGGAATGGTGTGAGAGCTTGACTTACAACTTTCAGGTGCAGGATGCGTACTGCTGAGTAGTAATTCGAGTCTAGAGTATAACAACCCCCAGTTGTCACTCCCGGATTCTCCAATGTTTCTCTGAGCTTGTGATAAAAACTGCAATGTAGTCATTAAGTTTAAAAGGGAAGTGAGTGTTTGAAGTCTCATGTGAACAACAATAATAATAATAATAATGTTTAGAAATTAGTGGATAGGTAAAATTGATCCGCGGCAAATTGAATCTCCTGATCTCACGATTGTTCATAGCGGCATAAATGAAGGGTTGAGGAGTTCTCTGGACACAGAGAGAGAGGACGATTTGACAATTTTGGGGACAATTTTTCACCGACAAGTATTCTGATAACACAGATGAGAAATGTACTTAAATGTCAATGGTTATATCTCCACCTATTTTGTTATGTTTTCTTTCTCTCTTTCTTTCTCATAGTGTACTCTGGAGCGTGTACACAGCTTAGAGTTATCATTGAAAGAGGCTAAGGAAGGGGCTATGCGTGATCGTAAACGCTATCAAGTTGAAATTGAACGTATATATATATATATATATATGCATATACATATACATATATACGTTCAATTTCAACTTGATAGCGTTTACGATCACGCATAGCCCCTTCCTTAGCCTCTTTCAATGATAACTCTAAGCTGTGTACACGCTCCAGAGTACACTATGAGAAAGAAAGAGAGAAAGAAAACATAACAAAATAGGTGGAGATATAACCATTGACATTTAAGTACATTTCTCATCTGTGTTATCAGAATACTTGTCGGTGAAAAATTGTCCCCAAAATTGTCAAATCGTCCTCTCTCTCTGTGTCCAGAGAACTCCTCAACCCTTCATTTATGCCGCTATGAACAATCGTGAGATCAGGAGATTCAATTTGCCGCGGATCAATTTTACCTATCCACTAATTTCTAAACACATTATTATTATTATTATTGTTGTTCACATGAGACTTCAAACACTCACTTCCCTTTTAAACTTAATGACTACATTGCAGTTTTTATCACAAGCTCAGAGAAACATTGGAGAATCCGGGAGTGACAACTGGGGGTTGTTATACTCTAGACTCGAATTACTACTCAGCAGTACGCACCCTGCACCTGAAAGTTGTAAGTCAAGCTCTCACACCATTCCGACACCGGAATCCAATCCACTGCCATATGAATTCTAACCTCTTCCAAATCGTAATTTTAACGCGACTGTCACCAGCCAATGTCATTCGTAGCCAGGATTTGTTCAGTTACTACAAGTGACCAAAAATCAATGATCCTGAAAGTTGGAACACCAATAAATGCGTACTGCTGAACAGTCCCATACTATCCAGTACATCACCCTGGTTTTCCAATAATTCTTTCACTGGTGTCAAACTTAAAACAAATCGGATCTCTACAAAATAACTCTTCAAGATGACTACGTTATTTCTCGAGTGAAAACGCAAACTATGGTGTCAGTCAAGACCAGTCAGTCAGCAGAGCACATACACTAAGAATTACTGAAGAAAGCCAGTCTACCTCTCTAACACTTAATAACGTCGTCAACTCCGAAAGTATTAGGGTATGTACATAGACAAAAAATACAGACTTCCAACAATGCTGCTAGCCCCAACGGATTGATCCCTGACGAAATCTCAGCACGAATACAGGGGGCTCGTTTCGCATTTGCCAGTTTACGCCGACTCTGGCGTAGACGAGATGTTCGACTATCGACCAAAGGGCGGGTGTACTGCTCATCAGTCCGCTCCGTCCTCCTTTATGGTTGTGAGACCTGGCCACTCAGAGTGGAAGACATGAAAAGACTAGCTGTCTTTGATCATACGTGCCTGCGCTCTATTTCCCGTGTAAAGTGGCATAATAAGGTGAGCAACATGGAG